GATTTTTGGGATTTCATAATTTGTTGTTGCTTTTCTTCGTAATGAAAAATCCACTGTGAAAACAAAGAATAGCGTGAGAGATAGAGCCGAGAGTGAGAAGCAGGATCGAGAGAGTTTGAAGAGAGGAAGGAAGGATTTGAAAGAGAGGAGATTAGAATTTCTGTTGATTTCTGGAAAAAAAGAACGATGATTGTTTGTGTTGGAACAGTTAGATTTTCAATCTTCCCCCTCTCCCAATAACAACAATATGGCGCCTCTAATCAGGTTGCTAGGGTTTCAAACCCTTCCCTTTCCTTATTTCCAGTCGGGTCAGCCCATTGGGCTGCTGGCCCAATCTAGTTATCATTTTCCCCTTTATATTTCAATTAAACCATAGAAATAACAGATAGACAACACATCTCAGTTGGTAAGGCTTGTACATTATAATATGGAGGACCCGGGTTCAACATCTTGCCAGGACATTTTTTTTCATTTATTTTGTTTTTAACTATTTACCCTTAGGACAAAATTAGTTTAGGTCTATTTTTTATTTTAAAATTCAATTGAATTAAATGCAACTCTTAAATTAGTTAAATTTCTCTTAGTTAGGAAATTTGTTTATTACCTCTTTTTCTTTTAATTTATTTATTTAGTTTCTACATAACAAAAATACTAAAAAACAAAATATAGACAAATGATTTAATTTCTTTAATCAATTATTTTCTTTAATAGATTAGAATTTCATTTTTTTCTTTCCAAACTTTTCAAACAGATACCAAGAATTTTATTTCCATATTTTGTTAATTAATTTTATTTCATAGACTGTTATAATTTTAATTAATCGTTAAAATTTGATTTGGTTGTATTGTTTGCCTATTTTGGACTTTTAATCGCATTCGACTCATCCCCATTTGTAAAAAATTGTACCCCCATTCTCGAAAACTCTGTAATAGCGTAGAATTTCAATTTCCGCAATTTATTGTTTTCCTTATATTGTATAGTAATTAGGCGTGTATGGCAAGATTTAAAATCAATTGCTAGATAACCTAATTTCAAAGACAAAATTACCTTGAAACAAACACACTTTTTCACACACGCACCTCTAGGGTAACCTCGCTCGTTGCCTCAGAAATACAGTCATGTCCCTCGAATATGGGACACTTTAGCAAAGACCCTTTGATAAAAAAGATCGTAGTCCCTCGACGTCCCTCGATGTTGCCTTCAATAAAACGATCTAGTCCCTATGACTGTATAAACATCTCGCGCTTGTCCCTTCACATCCAACGATGGGGCTTCTTACCAAATCAATGGTAAGATAGCAACTTCTAAAGGAGAAAAAGAACATTTAAGACTTTTCGAGTAGGTAGATTCGCTCTTAATCGCTCTCTTGCTCACAACCAAACATTTTACACCAACACTTTCAAAACTTCAAAACATTTTCAAAAGATCAAACACTTTGTATCCATTCTTACGAACGAGAATCATTACAAATTTTGCCTAAACAATGGCCTCTTTTCAAAAATACTTTCAAAACCACACAAAGCATAATTTCAAACAAAAGCAAGTGATATAGCAAGTAACTAGGAGCCCATGGAAAACCATGGATGAAAAGGGTGCTAACACCTTCCCTTTTCATAATCTACCCCCCAAACCCGAGAAATAATCTCGAAAGGTCTTTCCTGTGCTTTTTTACCTTTCCTTTTGGATAAAATAAAAGTCGGTGGAGACTCTTGCTAACCGCACAATAGCGATCAAATGCAAACGACCCAAGTCAGTTCTCCCACCGTATCACAACTACTTATCAACATCAACTACTTCCGACAATCACTTATGTGATCCCAACACAAAAGTTACAGCAACTTTATTACTCCATCATTGTTCAAACATCGAAATCTTAAACTTTCTTCGTAAATCAACAAATATTACATCGCTCTTCATTCTTCGAGAAGTAAGCACCAACAATGTTTGATCAATTTCTCTCAAAGCGCTCTAACTCAACTAACAACAAGACCTTGAATCCAAGTCACCTTCAAATTCGGGAACAAAAAGACTCCAACAATTCTTACATTATCATCGTCGGCAGCATACCGAACCAACACCTTTCAATTGAACATATCCGAGAAGCAAAGCTTCTCCCCCACTTATCTTCAACCAACTTCATGCAATTAAGGCAAACAAGTACGGACAGTGTTTCACACACTTGTCGCGCACTAAGGAACAAAAAACATTAGAAAACTTGGTCGGACCGACTGACCTGCTCTAATACCACTATTGTAACACTCCATTTCTATCCGGCGGATAACGATAAAATCAGAGTTCAACATAAATAGGATGCTACATTTTCAAGTTAAAATCAAACTTCATTTAATCGCATATAAAACAGATACATAACACTTAACTCGGATGAATCGATAACAACTTGATTTATTCTTTAACACCAAACAACTTTATATTGATAAGCAGCGGAATCTGCATACTCAACTTTAATTCACTTAACATCTTTATTCAACTAAAACAACTTCGAGACAACCGTTACTTCATGTAAACAACTTAAATATTCAGCAACGGAAATAAATATCAACAACTAAACATTAAGCGTTCATCCCCCTGAGTGCTACGTATCAGAGCGACAAAACCGACTCGAACTGACGAGGTAACAACTATCCTTCTTGATTACATGCATGTTACTAACAGAGGGCAACATTCAAATAGTGAGGGGTGAGATTCTCAAATCGTATAAGTGAGAGCACGGTAAATCATGTATTAAAATTCAGGAATATAAAACCATCACATTGCAACATCAACATTGTCATTCCCTTCACGATACATCTTTTCACAAACCTCACTTGTTTTAATCACAACTTAAATCATCACAATTCACATCATTATTAATTATGCAAGACCCGATGAGACACAACTATTAAAATACATGTGGTACCAACAGGGCTTCAACCCCCATCACCAATTGCCAATTATTACAGGCATTCAAACATGGCATCAGCCTTCATTTCTATTTTGCCAATTATTAGAGGCATTCAAATAAGGCATCAAACTTCATCGCTATTTTTCCAATCCAAGCCATCACAGAGTATGCAAATGTATGTGACTCAATGAATGCACCATCACATACTCACAACAATCATCATTCATCGCAAGGCATAAGCCTGCGTCGCCATTATTACCAGTAAATAGAGGTAATTCATCATCATCTAAAATTCTCTGGAACTTCGCATTATCAACAAAATTCACAGCAACAATCATAACAACACAACAACGACAATACAATAACAATAATTAAACAACAACTTAATAACAATTCAACAACAATTCAACAACAGGTCAACAACCATTTAACATTGGCCATATGACTACAACATAATATTGCCCATAAATAGAGGCAATTCAACCAAATTCATCATCACCTGCTATTTCATAATTAACCATAACAATTATTCCGTATAATTATTCGGACAGGTCGACCAAATCCTGCAAATTAATTAATTCTCCACTATTATTTTATTACTAATAACCTTCTGTTACTAATTCACATCTTAGTCTCTACCTTACAACAACTTATACAATGCACCGTCTCAACCATAATATCTTACAAACATTCTGCGTAATTATTCGGACAAACCAACTTCATCCGGCTAAATAACACTCTGCTACAATTACTAGCATTTCTACTCGGTATTATTATTACCAAACCCACAATGCTACTGTTAGTTCATATTATTCATATTATTTCATCACTCTACTAACGTACATCAGTTTACCAAAACAATTACTGCCATTATACTAATTATTTCCAACTCTGTCTTATTACTAAGGCCATCAAGTTATGTTGAAACTACTAAATTAAGATTACTGACATAAAGGATACTTATATTAATGAATTCTATACTGATACCATATGAAAATTATATAACATATTGCCACAGAAACGAGTTCTGCCCATGCCTAACAATCAGTGTCGAACGACACTTCATACCAACAATAACACCCAGTGCCGAACGACACTCCTCTCTCTCAAGGCTGCCGACCGGCAGCACTCACCACTAACAAGGTAACAATCGGCATGCCTCCCTTTCTTAAAATTTCCAAACTTCCTGTTCCTTCTCCAGTTTCCTTCGATCCATATATTTTCAATGGAACAATCAATCAACACACAGGAATACGAAAGTTTCACCGATATTCATCACTAATTAATTCATAACATCAATTGCCATAAACAAACACAAACAATAATAATTTAAACCCTAATTCCCCACATACAATTTCTCATAAGCCCCATTATAGGATAAGAAAATCCATCCTTACCTTGGATTGGAGATCGCTCTATAATTTCCGATCGAGTTCTGATTGCAATCCGTTGCTGCCATAACTCTAAACCTTTATTCTTCTTCTTTTCTCCATGTACTGCATCCTTTTCTTTTCTCTTTCTCTAAAATCCTTATTCTTCCTTTTTCTCATAAAATTCTAATTCCTTATAATTTCTATTATTCTTAATAATTCTATTGGGCCTAATCTTAACACCCCCACTTTTACCACCACCAACCAATAATTAAGCCCATATAATAAATCTAGTATTATTCCAATACTATTTCTACAACTTAATCAACCAAATAATCAACTAACAAGGTGACAACTTAAATCAATATTTCAATAATTCCAATAATTAATCCGTAATTAATTTAATTAAATAATTAATTAAATTAACCGGCGTTACAGCCCACCTTCATCTCCATGCCACTGTCCATCTTTGCAATTTGCAACAACCCAACTACACCATCATCACCGTAAATTCCTTCAACACCCAATCATCATCGTCAATTCTCTCTCCACGAACAACAACCACTCCGTTCACATCCAACAACAAACCATAAGCATCATCCGCTCCATTTGTTTTCATTTACAGCAACTTCACATCGCCATCACTATTCAAATCCAGCACCTCGTTCAACAGGAAATCATCACCGTTCCTCTTCCTCTTACACCAACTACACTCCATTTGTTCATCAATGCTCATAACCTCTTCAACACGCATCAAGCCAGCAGATCCTAGCCACTTCACTTTAACACGACTTTCACGTTTTCCCTCTGCCTCACTTCCAACTGTGTGTGATACTCCCTCCAACTCAGTTCTGTTTTACAACTCCTCCCTTCGTCCAAGCTTCGACATTCAGCAAACTGTTCGGTAACTCTTCAATTCTATTGTTGATTGTTTAAACTGTGATGTTGTATTGTTTTTTCTGATTAACTATTGTGTTATTAAAATTGTGAGAACCCTATGTTAGTTCATGGATAAATATGGTTTGATGATATTGTAGTGCAATATTCTTTTGAGTAAAATCGTTAGGCTGTATAGATTTATCAGTCTAGAAGTTTATGCTGCCAATTTGCGAAGAAACGACTTGATATGTTATATTCTTTGATAACTCTTTGAAAAAAATAGTAATGTTCAATTTTTTGTCTTCAATTAAAATGTATGCCAAACTTGTGTTGAATTCTTGTTTAGTGGTTGGTGTTAAAGTGTTGATGTTAGTGAGTTTATTGTTGAATTTGGTGATGATATTGTTGTCGATTTGAGTTTTAAAGAGGATGCTGATATTTGTTTGCATTTAGAATATGGAAGTTGAATGAAACTTTGGCAATTTGGTTGCTTGAATTAAGTGATGATCATGGTGTTTCGATTGAAAGGATCATTTGTTGCTATTTTTTTTGTTTTGTCATGTCGAGTAATTAATTCAAGAAGTGCAGATGTCCGGATGATTTGTTTTTGGTCCATTCAAGTTTAATTGTGATTGGTGAGAATTGGTTTTGTTTGTGATTTGTTTCTCTTTGGTTTCAACTTATCTTTACATTTAATTTTGGAGCCTTTTTGTACCTATGTAGTGGCTTCCCGAATTTGATTTGTTTGACCATAGCTTGGTTTGAAATCAATTGTCTATGTTTCGATTTTGGATTGAATTATAGCATGAGTTTCTTTGACTTTAATTCTTTGTGAATGAAAATATTTGAATAAACAATTGTTTTGTTCTTGAATTGTTCATGTGTATCATACGGATTTTATTTTGATTCTTATACTTTATTATTACTAACACATGTTCTAGCTGTTGCAATTTCATTTGGTTTCACTTTTATCCCTCTTATGCTACTAACGAGTTTGTTATTGTGAAGGTTTCCAAGAACTATTTCAAGCATTCATTCTCGCATAGCGCATCTCTGCTTTTTCTTCATTCCCTTTTTATTGTATTTTATTTTACTATTTCGATTTAATATTTAGTAATATAAATATATAATTGTACATAATACTTTTGATTTTGTATTTTATTCAATTCACTTGTAAATAAATTCATGTTATGTAAATATTTTTTCCATTGCGTTGTGATTTTTAATTTTAATTCAAGTTAACTTTTGAAAATCGTATGGACGCATATAATTTTTCCCAATCATTTGGATTTGATTCCTACATGAATCAATTCTAGAAAATACTTAACTAAGTGCAATGTTCGACAATTTACACTTAAGCTTTAAATAAGTTTCCTCGTGCTGTTGGATTTGTTTGTATATTTCATGTGATACAGGGATTGTTATCCAATACCGTGAGCTTTATTTGATATCTTGAGCCTTATCTGGTACCGTGAGCTTTATCCATCGTCTTTGCGTTTTATCTGATTCCTCTAATGATCCACGCTTTATTTGTCCGTGATTTATTTTCACATGCTTTATTCGACGCTTGGAGTATTATCTTACATTTGGGTTTCTTTGATGTCGTCCGCTTGTGATTTATTTTCACCTGATGTTTGGTATACTCTTAGCTTTTTTATATGTCTGTGACTTTAAACCCAAAGGGATGGGAACACGGTATTGACTTTATCATTTCAACTCTTTACCTTATCTTCTACCCTCTTGTACATAGGATACTCTCTTCATCTCTTCTCCCATTGTTTAATTTTCAAAACCTTCTCATCTTTTTCAAAATCTTCTTTGTTTCTAAACTTGAATTGCTTTCGTAATAAACTTGGACTTAGGTCCATGCATTTTAAAAAATATTTTCTTAATCAAACTTTAAACAATTTAACAATACTTTGACATTTTTGTGAGAAGACTAAAAGTTAATCAATCTCATTCAAACTATCTTTGCCACTTTGGCTTTTTACCTTAAAATTTTCTCAAAATATTAGACTCTTGCATATCCTTGTAGTGATGCGAGCTACTATACTTCTACGATATGTAGTGAAGTGAGATATTTTCCACTTGGGTGTTGAGCGAGACTTTGTTGATTTTAAAATCCAAGCCATATCCTCCACTTTGAGATGAGGCAAATTCTCTTTTCTCATAATCGTGGGTAGTAAGTATGTTCTTCCACTCGGATAAGAAGATGATGTATTGTCTCTTAAAATTAACCAACACACTTGTGTTTTAAATTTTTTTAAGGTGAAATACGAGTACCCTGATCCCTTATTGCACGAAAGGTGGTACGTAGGCACTAAAGGTTCGCAACCACGACGGGTGCAAAAATTATAAAAAATACTTCTTTCCTCATTCCCACAATCCATTTTTGTATACAACATTTATAGCTAAAATACATAAATTTTCAAAGAGGTTCCTGTGGAATACCGTAGATGTTTAGGGTGCTAATACCTTCCCTTTGCATAATCAACCCCGAACTTAGATTTTCTCCCCCTCTTTTTGGGTTATTCGCTCTTTTCCCATTCCTTTGGAAACAATAAAGCGCGATGGTGATTTTTATTTTAATATGTGCGAGTTAAGTCAATCTAATGGCTTTGTCTCAATATTTCTACCGCTACAGAAAAAAATAGCGACTTTGCTAGGAAAGTATAGGTCTATTGTTGGTCCATCCTTAAGTGGGTTAAGCCTATCTTTGTTTATCTGAATATGTGATATTATGGGTTGTATCTTATATGCCGTATATATGTTTGTCTGGATTTTCCTGGTTTTCAGGGTGCTTGGTGATTTCTCATAAGTCCTATACTCGGACTTGGGCAAACTTAAGATAGGACGGGCGATATAGTCATGTTAACTTTGAGGGAGTAATCCCAAAAAGGAGGCATGAGTCCCCCACTCAGTGAAGGCCCTTTTGACTATAGTGTCGTTTACTGAGTAATCGAGAAGACGTGCTGCTTTCGGCCTGGGAGCCTGCTGAAACCGAGGACCGTAGAACCTTTAACCCATCCTGGCCTTTTAGGTGTAGTGCGGAAGCTATGACGGAATAATCTGGAAGTGGTTGTCACGCGATACTATGCTCGGACGAGTTTTTCTTGAGAATATTACTAATTACCGAGTCAATCGGGATGTTGGTAATATCTGAAAGAAGGATGTAGACTCTAGGAACCTCTTAGAACCTTGTTCGGCAGGTGATAAACTTTTAGATCATACCTTATGGGTAGTACCTTCAACCTCATGCTCGTGACTTTGAACCTATGAACCATATGTTTATGATCTTGTGTGTGATTGTTGCATCATGAATTCATGCAACCATGAGCATCCTTTAAAATATTTTGTTTCAAGGGACTTAAAGTTGACTCTTTGTGAAGATCCCAGGTACTTTTTGACTATGGATTCTGGAAAAAGAAAGACTAAGAAGTACAGTTTCAAAGATCCCAAGATAGATGAGTTGATAAGTCTGATACCCCGAGATCGAGAGTTCTACATTTTTTCGAAGGAAGTATGGGTCCATCATTTCCCTTATGAAGCTCAGGATGAAGAAGGGTATTCTCTCGACTTTGGTCCAGTTCTATGATCTGACGTATCAATGCTTTACTTTCCCTGATTATCAGTTGATGCCTACATTGGAGGAGTATTCTTATCTGCTGGGTTTACCTATTATTGATCGTGTTTCTTTTACTGGTTTGGAGGGGGAGCCAAAATCCCATGAGATTGTTGCTTTGATCAATTTAGGGAAGTCTGAGGTTGAAGCCCACATGACTACCAAATGAGGGATTAGAGGATTACCAGCTCAGATCTTATTGGAGAAAGCTCTTCCTTTTTCCAAAATGAAGAGTATGGTTGCTTTTGAAGCCATCTTTACTCTACTTGCTTATGGATTGTTCTTATTTCCCAATGTCAACAAATTTGTGGATACCAATGCCATCAGAATCTTTATGATTGGAAACCTAGTCCTTGCGTTATTAGGTGATGCTTATTACTCTATTCATCTTTGGGATTCTTATCATGGAGGGATGATCATTTGTTACACGCCTTTCTTGTATTAGTGGTTTATTTCTCACTTGCCTCGGTCTGATGCTTTCTGGGATGTCAAGAAGGAACCTCGTTGGGCTCCGAAGATTATAGCCCTCACTCATTTAGATATCATTTGGTATCACCGGGATTACTATGATGTGGAAATTATTGATAGTTGTGGTAGTTTCTCCAATGTACCTCTTCTTGATACAAAGGGAGGAATTAATTACAATCCTGTTCTTGCACGACGACGGCTTGGATATCCGATGAGGGATAAGCCAAATAGTATTCATCTGAGTGGTTTCTTCCTGAAAGAGGGATAAATTCATAAGGAAGCTAAAGAGGAGATTGCGAAGGCTTGGCGTCATATTCACAAGAAGGGTAGGAAGGACTTGGGACCTAGAGGGGTTGTTTCTTTGGAGCCTTATCTTTAGTGGGTACAAGCAAGAGCCATCCAGTTGAATATTCCATATTCCCGTGAAGCACCCATGCCTGATATGTTTGTTAAGACCACTCCTCCCTTATTAGATGATATGGAAGATCTTCATCTTGCTCTAGTCAGGATGCAGCATGAAAAGGAGACTTGGGAGAATAAGTGTCAAACTTTAGAGGTGTTCTACCGAGCAGACCTGAAGGAGAAAGACGACTTGATCGAGATTCTTGAGAATCGTGCTGTAGAGATGACGGAGAGGCAAGAGGATTTATTTTTCTCTAGAGCTCCGTCAAGACCTAGTTGCTCACTTCCCGATTCTGGTGATTGGAAAATGGTCTCCCATAGGTATGCAGAAGAGAAAAAGTAGTTGAAGGCTCAAATTGCAAGACTCACAGGGGAAGCGTTAGTGTGTGGAGTGATCTTCATCAGCTTTTCTTTTTTAGGATCTTAGATTTTTATCTTGTACTTGGGATTAATGAAACTTGTACTAAAAAGTTGTAATCCGTTTTGAAGTTATTATAATGAGATTTTCAGTATTTCAAATGTGTTAGTACTTTAATATTTTCAAATTGCACATCATGCATAATCTTGAACATATTTTTGCATTTATGTTCATACCCAGGTGTCTTACTGTGCTTCTTTACTTAATTCAGCAAGTTGTATCACCAGTACAACACTCGGACTAATTTCAGAAGGAAGATGGATAATCTAGAACAAGAGAATCACGAGCTGCACGAAGAAGTTTCTGCTCTGAAGGCCGGTATGGCCCATCTCACTGTTTTGATGGAATCGTTGGTGGCTGCTCAGAATCAGCCACCCTTTCTCAGCCTCAACAGACAATAGTTACTACTGAAACTTCAGTTGTTTCGGTTTCTGCTACCCCAGCTGCTATTAATCATAATCATATGCATCAAGGTTATCCATAGGGAATTCAAGAGAACTTTATGTCAGAAGGTTTTAATCATGATACTCAAGTTGCTCCACTTGCTCAGGCTACTGTTGCTCCTGAACCTCCTATGGTGCATATTATCCCTGCTGCTAGAAATGAGATTTACTATGCGGAACCTCCCTCAGTGAATGTGGTACCATTTTCTAATGATGAAGCGTATCACCCTATTCCTCCACCAAGTGAAAGTTTGGGTGTCTATGATCAAATGGACGATTTTCAGGATCTGTTTGATAGGATGCGGAAAGAGTTGAAGGCCCTCAGAGGAAAAGAACTATTTGGGCAGAATGTGAATGATATGTGTTCCAAATGTGAAAATACCTGCAAAATTCAAAGTACCAGAATTATAGAAGTACAAGGGCAACACTTTCCCTCGTGCTCACTTAGTGATGTATGTGAGAATAATGTCTACTCATACCGATGATTAACACCTGTTTATTCATTTCTTTCAAGACAGTTTGATTGGTGTTGCGTTGAAATGGTACATGAGTTTGGATAGTGCCAACATTCACTCTTTCAACGAATTCGGTGAAACGTTTATTAGACAGTACGAATACAATGTGAACATCGCGCCTGACCATGTTCAACTCAGGGCCATGGTCCAAAAGGACAAGGAGTCATTTAAAGAATATGCACAGAGATAGCGTGAAGTAGCCGCCTAAGTGATTCCTCCAATGGAAGAAAAATAAATGACCAAGAT